CCGCCCTCGTCCAGGCCCCGCCCTCGTCCAGGCACACACGGCGAGTCTGCAGGCTGTCCAGGCGGCAGGCCGGAAGGTTTTGTATTAAAACATTGAACAAAGAGCTCCCTCCCGTGAGCCGTGAGGCGAGGCCCCAGCAAGGCAGCCTGGGGAGGGGCGGGAGGATGTTACCCTGGAGTTCGGGCTCCTGTGGACAGCCAGGACTTGGGGACAAAGACAGGCCCTCGTGTTCCTTCAGCTGGTCCAACCTCAGCAGTTGTGGGCAGAGCCTAGGAGAGGGGATGGGATCAGCCTGGAGGGGTGGATGGAGTTCTTTGTCCCCAGGGTACATGTGTGTGCACAGCCCCTCCTTGACCCCTGTTCCCCCCAGTCCACGCCCATCCTGTCTTACCTGGAGTGATGAGAGGTGGGGCATCCCCTGGCCGGTGACTAGGGGGGAAAAAAGGTGGTGAGATTCACGTCCACCCCAGTTTGTCCTCTCCCTCAGGTGAGAGGAGTCTCTGCTCAGCCAGACCTGGCTTCCTGGCTATTTTCCAGGAACTAAAGCATTTCAGAATTTGGGACCCTTTGGGGAATTATTAGCTATGAACCATGAACCTTAGAAATAGGCGTGGCAGAACCCTGAGTCTTATCCTCTTGGGGGAGACTTGAGAGGCTCTTTCCCCCTGAAGAGTGTTTATTCTGCAAGAGGCCAGCAGGCAGGAACCGCCTTACCTGGGCTTTGGGCTGAATCTGCATTTGCACTTTCCACCTGTTGGGACAGTGAGCAATCAAGGGAGGGGACTCCAGGCTTCGCCCCGCCCACTGCCCCCGTCAGCCCCTGCGCTCACTCATGAGGACAATGATGCCGATGGCGCACAGGACCCCTGCACAGATGAGTCCTCCGACCCGAAGGCTGTACCAATCTGGGAGAAAATCAGAGGAGACCTCAAGGCCAACCCGGGTCCTTTCTATCCATCGCCCCATCCACTTAACAAATAGGTACTGATCACCCACCATGTGCAGGGCACTGGGGATAGAGAACAGAACAGAAGCCAAGCCTGACGGTGCACACCTTCTAGTTTACACCCAGGCAAACAAGGTATTTCTTGTCAGGACAGGTGGAGATAAAACGATCTGAAGGAAAATAGCCAGAGCTGGGAACTGTGAGTCAGAGGGCAGCTGTTTTAGAGACAGTGGTTAGGGAAGGGCTCTTTGAGGAGCCCACAACTGAGCAGCCATCTGCAGGAGGTGAAGAAAAGAGCGTGTGGACATATGATAGGAAGTCTCCAGGCAGGAGGATCCACAGGTGCAAAGGTCCTGTGGCTGGCAGTTCTGTGTCTGAGGACCAGAAGGAGGCCAGTGTGGCTGGAGCAGGAATGAGAGACAGTGGAGGAGGTGAGGGCAGAAGGACAAGGGGGAGCAGAACAGTGGAACCTGGTGGGGGAATGCTGAGGTGGGTAGAGTCCCTCACTTCTTCCAGGAAGTCTTTCATGTAAGCCCTTCTCCTAACAGTTGGTTTGAACCTAATGGCTTCTTGTGGTCTGCCCTCGCTTTCTGAGTGTATCTAACTACCTTGCTGGATGAGAATCTTCCCCCAGGCCATGCTGACACCTCTTGTTCCTGTGACCCACATCTGACCCTCCACCCACCCTGTCTGGGGACACAAAATAGCATGGGGGGTTGGGAGGAGACCAAGAAGCCAGGCACCAGCTCTCACCATAGTAGAAAGGACTGTTTTTATCTGCAAGGAAAGAAAAAAAAGAACAGAAATCAAGGACAACGGCAGTTCGCAGGGGTCCCAGGGGTGGATGGGGGACCTCTGACTCACCTTCCGGGTCGTTGGCGTCCAGTGCAGGCAGACCTGGTGGGGACCAGAGGGAAGGAGGGAGATGGTAATGTGTGGAAGGTCCAGGGGGCCTTGGGAGAGGGTCCCTGGGGCACAGGGAGTCCCAACCCAGTCTCGCTGCCTTGGTGTCCCATCATGGAGACATGGACTCGCTCACTCACCCCCACGCCTCTGAGTCACACCAGCCACTTGTCACCTGAAATAGGTTCTACTCTGGGTGGTTTTGGGCCACCGTTCAGTTGCCTGTTTCCAGACACATGGCTAATCCACACCTCCTGCAGAGGTGGGGGGACTTTTCTTATCAAGGCGACATATGGCTTTGGTTCCCAAGGCCCGGTTCCCCCCAAGCCAGCCATATCCATCACCTGCCTTCCTGATTCTGCCACATCCCCCCGACACTGGGCTGGCATCTGCTCACCATCCCCTGCAAAGTGCCTCCCTATTACCGACTTAAATACACTCGAATGCGACTTTCCATGCCTACCCTGAACGGAATGCCAGCCCTGCCCAAAGCCACAGAGAAAGAAAAATGCAAAAGAAAGCAAAGGACCAGGATTAAATTCTGTTCCAAGCAGCCGACTGCCCCAGCTCTGGACCTCAAACTCGCTGCTGAAGGGAGATGAATTATTTTTAATCATATTTGAAGCACACGCCCCGTGCATGCTGTACCAAGCACGGTTCTAAGTGCTTTTCAAATATTAACTCACTTAATCCTTGAAATGACTCCGCCAACGGGTGCTCTTACTCTCCTCATTTTGACAGATGGGGAGACTGAGGCGCGGAATGTTCTGGTCATTTCTACTGCTCGGCTCGGCTGCCAGCAGCCTCTTGAAATAGTTTAGGGGTGCCTTAGCCACACAGCCCGAGGCCCTGTCCCCTCAGAAGGTTGACAGTTGACAGGGGAATGGAGAAGACGGTGGCTTTCTAGCTGTGTGAGCCGCTGCTAAGAGAGGCCTTGACCTTCCTGGTGTGTCCCTTGAAATCATGGATATGACCCTACGTCCCTAACAGTGACCAGCTCCCCAAGCCAGGTAGAAAAATGCAGACCCGCATAGACCCACAGGCTTGGCACCACCTGGCCGGGGTCCAGGGGAAAAGACGACTCAGCGGCCCGGGACTCACCTGCCAGGAGGACGAGCAGCCTGAGAGCCACCTCTTGCATGTCGAGGACGGACCTACAGGAGGCCAGGGAGCAGGCGCAGCATGAGCAGGGCAACGAGGATGCCCGTCCCATGCCTCTGGCTCCCAGCGCCCTCCTCCCCGGCCTTCCGCCCAGAGAAGCCTGGCCCTGAGGCTGGCCGGGCTGAGACAGGAAGGAGGCCCAAAGTCAAGTGGGGGTGGGGACGGTTTCAGGCCCGATGAGGAAACAGCTCCTCAACCCACTGGGCAGGGAGCGAAGGCCCTCAGTGAGTCACTCTGGCAACTGAGCAAGGGAGCCCGGCCTGCTCTCTCTCCACCTTCTGGGTGGGGAAACTGAGGCTCTGAGAGGTGACCGCTGGTGCCCCAGGTCACTTGGCCAGGAAGCAGGATCGCAACCAGGCCTGGCTCCCTGGTGGCTGTTCCTAACTCCCGGGCTGTCAGGGCCTCGGGGTGTTTGGGAAAGCGGGTGTCAGGAGCCAGGTGGCAGCAGGCCCGGGTGCTGGGGAGTGTCTCCCGTAGACAGCGCGGAGCCTGCCCCGCTCTGCCCAGACTTTGCAGGCCTCAGACGGGGCCTGAGCTTCCCCTCGGGCTGCAGGGCAGGGTGGAGGGAGGAGAGAAGCCAGGCTGGGACAGGGGGCTGGGGAGGACAGACTGGGCTGGCACTGGGCAGCCCAGCTCCACTTCCTGTCCCACGGTACCCTGCCCACCTCGGCCCCCACTTAGTCCTGTCCTCGACCCCCATCCTCCCCAGCCTTAGCCTCCTGGCCCTTCCCAGCCCTGCTCCCTGGCCCATACCTTCCTCCCCGTCCCTGGCCGCGGGCCCCTCTTCCACAGGTAGGCCTGCCCAGCACCTGGGACGCTTTCCCTCCCTCCCTGGCCCAGTGTCAATCTTGTGCCCACCGTGGGTACCTGCAGTAAGCCCCGCCCACTCTACCATCCCCGCACGTGTGCTGGACACTGCCCAGAGACCTCGCTGTGCTCTCAACCCCCAGCAACCCCTGAGGCCAACCGTCATGTCCCATCTCACTGATGACAGCATACATGCTCGTCAATTGGGGGGTACAGGTCTATCCTGCATGTTCACAGGCTCTTCTATCTCCCTCTCCACCTCCCTGGCCTGGGAATGTTGCACACAGCTCCCCTGTGACGCGGGCTCACAGTCATTTTAGCAGGAGCATTCATTGCTTGCTGGAAGAGAGACTGTAGCTTTGGGGAGCGCTATTCAAACATCTAGACCCCCAGAAAGCATCTGCGGGGAGCTGGAGTGGCAGGACTTCAGACGGCGGGGGAGCCAATCTGCGTGTTGTCTAACGCTGCCTCTCGAGGTTCTGTCACTCCTTGATGACACAAACACTGGCAATAATAGCTGGTGCTTGCGGAGCGCCCGCCCCACGTGGCCCGGTCCTCGGCTCTTGATATGGTTCATTTAGATCACCTTCACAGCTTGACGGAGCTGGCACTATCATGATCCCACGCTGCTGTCACAAACCCTGTCACCCCTGAGAATTCCACTTGATACCATATGCTTCGCATCCTGGGACTGCTGGGGCTCTCCTCTTCCTCTCACCACGGACCTCTCTCCAAGCACCCCCTGGCCTGCCAGGCTCCACGGTCCCCCCCTACCCATGAAATCACCCTGCACCCAAGACTGGGGAGGGGGAGCTGATGGAACCCTCAGCTGCACCCTCCCGGCCATGGGGGTCCCACACCAGCTGGAGGGCTGCATCTGCCACCTGCCCGCTGTTGTCCCCTCTGTTCTTCCGAGCTGATGGCCAACAACCACGACTTCAGGGGTGTGCAGAAAGACCCCTCCTCTCCGTGTCCCTGAAGTCTAACTCACTCTCTGTTTTCCGGCATCCCCTGGTGGCATCCTCTCCTTTTCCTGGAGGCCTGTAGATCCACACGCCTCCCGCCATGCCCTGAAATACCCGCCATCTACTTAACTACCCGGCCACCCTGACACCCCAATCCTGACAGTTCTGTTCCGCTCAGACGTCCCCAGGTCCCACAGACCCCGCCAGTCTTTCCAGACCTCACCTACATGTCTCACCCTGCCCCAGCTGCCTGGCTCAGTCCCTGCGAGGAGAATGAAGGGGGATGGTCACAGGAAGGGAGGGGGCTTCCTCCAATCTCTGGCCATCAGAAAAGGACCTTGGAGGGGGAAGGTCCTCAGGGGTCCTGGCGGGAGGGGGCCCTGGTACTCACCTGGTGCTGGCTCCTGTGGCAGAGCTGAGGTTCCGGGAGAAAGCCAGTTGCCAGTGGAGTCCTAGTTCTGCCTCTATCTGCAGCTGCCACGCCCTGAGCAAACCTGGGCAGGTAGAGAACCAGCCGGTCTCCCTAAGGCTGGGGGCTCCCCCACCCCACTCCTGCTCTTAAAGAGACAGCTCCACCCCCTCCCCTGTCACGGCCACAGGTCACCAAGGGTTCAGCAACCTCAGGTGAGGTGCAGGGAGAACAGGATGGGCTGGGAACTTGGTCCCTTGAATTAGGGGTGGGACTTTCTCTAATCTCCTGAAACCAGAAAGAGATCTTGGAGGGGGAAGGTTCTGGGGTCTCTGATGGCAGAGCCCCCATCTGGCAAGGCTAGGGAGAGAGGTGACCCATCCACCTAGCAACCCAACTTCTTTGGCTTGGATGGTGTGTTTTGCTTGGGGGAGGGATTACTGGTCACTATGGGGACTTTAAAGTCCCTTCCAGGCCATATGTCTTTGTTGACACCATTTGAGGGTCAGTAGAAGATGCTGATATGACCAAGGTCATGATGTGAAGGAGACACTGGAACACCAAATAAGGGTGCCCGGACCAGGCCACCACCCCCAGCCTGCCCTGGGAGACTAGGCTCCCAGGCTCTTGCGCCTCCCAAGGTGCTGGGAGCAAGGTTCCTGGGTCCACAGCCCAGTGCTAGGTGGGGGGCTGCCTCCCACTCCAGAAGGTGGCCTGCCCTGTGCAAGGCCCTGTCCTTCTCTCTCCGGTCACCCCGCCTCACAGCATTCCTTCCGGCTGGGGTCTGTAGAGGCCCCCACATGGTCCCTGTTGGGGGTGCCCCCTCCCCCTAATTCGGCCTTCTTAGACAGAGGGACTTTTGTCTGGGGGCTGGAGAGAGAACAAGGCACCATTGAGCGGCTGGCAGAGGATTGGGGTCACGGGGAGGGGCAGGGCCAGGAAAGGGTGGCTCTGCACTGGCCACCAGCTGGACTCCAGGCGACCCCCAACACCCCCGTGGGGGAGGGGAGGAGGCGGCAGGCCCCAGGCCAGGGAGCGGGTGTTCTTGGGAGTGTGCAAAGCAGGGCAGGAAAAGGGTATTTGGGGTCGACTCAGGGAAGTGGGGGCAGGGAGAGGAACCCCGCTTCTCATCAGGGAGGGGCAAGCCTTGCTGTTCCAGATACAAGCCTTCTGTTAGGATTTTCCCTCCAGCAGTTTCTCAATTCCGGGCCCCAGACTAAACCAAGCTCCCGCCACCCCCGTGAGGGAGGGGCCCGTCCGCACAGGAGGGAGGGACAGTCAGGGCGCAGCTCAAAACAGAGGAGTGGGGGAGATAGAAGCAGAGGAACAAGGACAGGGGCAGGACAGGGGTGGTGGCGGAAGGATCTGAGTCCAGCTAAGGGAGGCTTTGTGTCCAGTGAGAGAGCATCTCTTCCCTGGACGTCGAGTCTGGACCTCCTGGAGGCTGGACCTCCTTGAGAAAACCCCTTGGTGGGCTTGGGAGCAAGGTGGTGACGCCCTCTGCTGGAAAGTGTAGGAACTGCAGGCATCAGGGAGTGGCGGCAAGTGGGTGGGGACCGGAAGGGCGCTCTGCTCTGTCCTTCATCTCTACCCGTCTGCGGGCTCAGATGCTAGAGGCCAGGCAAGAATCCCGAAGGAGTGAAGCAGAACAGATGTGAAACCGTAAAGCACCACGGCCACTGGGCAAACTGGAGACCCCTGTCATATCCAAAAATGTCGGAGCAAGTCCCAGTAGATGGAGGAATATCTCTCAGGGACCTTGCTAAGGGAAAAAGCTAGTACAGGGAAACTGCAGAGTGTGCCATCATTGTAAGGAGAAAACCGTTTGCATGCATACACTTGTAAGGCATCTTTGGAAATCTGCCCCCATGGCTTTTCGGGGGAGGGGACATGGGAGGCAGGAGGACATCATGGAAAAGACTCCTCATCATATGCTCCTTGTACCTTTACAAGGAATTTTATGAATTTTATGTTTGGAAATGTGCATCTCAAAAAAAAAAAAGGTTAATTAAAACCATTAGAAGATTGCCTCTACAGTTCCAGCCAATGACCCAATGACCACCGTATTTTCCATAGATGTCAGAAATTTGGCCAGGTTCGGGTTGTACATCTGTAATCCCAGTGACTCAGGAAGCTGAGGCAGAAGATCACAAGTTTGAGACCAATCTCAGCAACTTAGCAAGGCCCTAAGCAACTGAGTGAGACCCTGTCTCTAAATAAAATAAAATTAAAAAAAAAAAAAGAAGGGCTGAGGATATGGTTCGGTGGTTAAGCTCCCCTGGTTCAATCCCTGGTACAAAAGAGGAAGGAAGGAAGGGACGGAGGGAGGGAAGGAGGCAATCAATTTGAATCTTGTGGGTGAATTCTCAATATTAAAAGCAAGCTAAGATTCATGTTAAATTATGAAGTTCATTCAAGACACAGTTAAGAGCAGGTTTCAGTCTGGGGGACCCTAGGTTCTGTTGTGCGTGTGTTTATAGGGCTTTTTGCTCAACTTAGGCCAATCATAAAACTCTTCCTAGGCTGGACCTGAACGTGCCACAGCCACGTGGGCATTGGGCCAGAGCTGGGATTGTGGCCAGGAGGATGCTGAGACCCTGTGTACACAGACATCCGGGTCCCTGGCAAAGCCCATGGGGAGTGGCGTTAGGTGTGGTCATTTCCCTCCTGTCGGGGTTGGGTCTCTTTGGGAGAGAGTCTTCCGGGCTCATTTGACTTCAGACATATTTAATGAGCACACAGACATCCCTGAGCATCTGTGCCTAACAAGCCAGAAGCCCCTTGGGTACCAGAATGCACAGATGCTCAAGTTCCTAAATATAAAATCCAGTAGTATTTGCACAGAACCCATGAGATTCTTCCCACATGCTTTAAAACATCTCTAGATTCCTTACAATATCTAATACAATGGAAATGCTATGTGAATGGTGGTTGTACTGTTTTGTTTAGGGAATAAATGACCAGAAAAAAGTCTGTACCTGTTCGATACAAATGCAATTTTTTTTCCTGAACACTTTCACTCTGTGGTTGGTTGAATCCGTGGATGTAGCACGGCAGACACGAACGGCTGACTGTACATATAACATATTTTACATATGGATGTATATTATGTAGATAACAAAGGGACTTCAAGTGTTTCCCTTTCCATTTTGCTTTTGAAATCATTCAGTTCCCGAAGGACCTATGGAGACTCGGCTAGCCTATAATTACTCAGAATCCTGGAAATTCTTGCAAATGAGAAAAAAACAAATCTTCATGCAGTTTTTGAACATTGCAAAGTTTTCGGGGACTAGAGACTAAAGCAGAGAATCAAAGTCATCCGGTGTAGGCAGTCATGGATTTCAAAATTTTACTAATTTTCATTCAATAATTTGGTGGGTCCTTGTTTAGGGCCGATTGTTTGTGTGGGCTCTTGGTCCTGGACGGGCCAGCCTCAGGGGTGGAGCCAGAGATGCCCCCACCCAGGACAGGCAGGGGCGGAGAGGCCCAGTGATACTCCAAGTTCCCACTTCCTGGGCCGGAAGGGGACACAGAGACAGATGGACAGGCGAATGTGGCTTGTCAGGCTCGATGCAGCTGACCCCTGTGGCCTCAGGGGTCAGCACCTCTGGGAGAAGAGTAGGAGCCGCAGGAGGCCCTGTCCTGCCACCTGAGGCGGGTGTGGCGATGGCTACTCCAGCCTGGCTTCTGTAAGCCATCCATGCACGAGGTGTCCCATGAGGTGACCGAGCATCTGTGGACCTCCTTGAGACCCACCCACCCCCATGTTGCACAGAGATCAGAACCTGACAAAACAAGCTAGAAATGTAGATTTTTATGATGAAAATCTCTGGATTTTTAAATATTGGTAGCTGACTTTGAATTTTCTTAACACTTTGTAGGACAAATGAAATGTGTCATCTGGTCGGAAAAGGCCCCGGGGCCACTGCTCTGAGCTCCCCAGCTGGAGGGGTAGGCCAACTGGGGAGAGGCTCAGCGTCCCCCTCCCCCAGTGTCATTCATCCTGCTCCAGACACCTCAGCCTCCCTGCAGCGAGTTCTAGAACATTCCACAGAATGTCTGTGGTGTCTCCGCCCCAGAGATTGGCAGCTTTGCCTCCCTCTGCCTCCCCCTGGGGTTTGCTTGGTTCATTGCTTCACTTCTTCAATTCCAGGCACCGATGCCACCTTCTCCTGCCGCCTGCTCTGACCACCCTACGTACAGCCCCCGCCTCCACCGGGCCCCATAACTGAATCCAGTTATCAGGCTTCTTTTAACTCGCAAGTTGTTGTGGTTTGACTGTGTCCCCCGAAGTTCACGGAGATGGGATTTATTCCCGGAGGCAGCTGTGCTGAGGGAGGAGAATCTTAAGAGCTGATGAGGTCATGAGAGGTGGATGCGTTCCACCATTGTGGGAGTGGGTGAGTTATTGTGAGAACCGGTTATTCTAAAAGCAAGGCTGTACCCCTGTTCACTTTTTCTCACCCTCTCCTGCCCTTCCACCTTCTGCCATGGGATGATGCAACAAGAAGCCCTCACCAGATGCCGGTACCATGCTCTTGGACTTCCCAGCCTCCAGAACTGTAGGCTGAATCCATTTCTGTTCATTATAAATTATAAACATTCCCATTTAGCGGCAGTAGTTGAAGGGTCAAGTCCGTCTCCCTAGTGACTCTGGCCCCATCTTTTCTTAGTTTGAGACTTTACAAGAGAGAGTAAGGAAGAAGGAGACTCAAGGGTCCTTCTGGCCCCAGGACTGCGCCTGTCATCTCCAATCTTAATCCCATCTGCACCTGGATGGCCGCCATGACAGATCCAGCCCCGGGGGGGGGGGCATCTGGGGGTGGTTTGCACAGCAAAGACTCCCAGGGGCTGGTGTCCTGTGTCCAGGAAGAGAGGGTATATCTGCCCACTTGAGGTGAGATGGTACCACTGAGGACATGCCTGCTCATGTTTTATGATTCCCTTCTGAAAAACATCTGTTTGTCAACTGACTATAAGAAAAACTGATTTTTTTTTTTTTTTTTGGTACCAGGGATTGAACTCGGGCACTCGACCACTGAGCCACATCCCCAGCCCTATTTTGTATTTTATTTAGAGACAGGGTCTCACTGAGTGGCTTAGCACCTTGCCATTGCCGAGGCTGGCTTTGAACTTGAGATCCTCCTATCTCAGCCTCCCAGGCTGCCTGGATTACAGGCTTGCACCACTGTGCCTGGCTGAATCTCTTGTAAGGCCAGGCAAGTGAGCAGGAAAAGATTTTTGAGATAGAAGAATCTAGAAACCAACAAGCAAACAAAACAAAACACCTTATATATAAATAGAAATAAAGCCAAGGAGGCAAGATATGGAGAATTGGTGAATCTATGAAGGCTCTTTAAGTTCGTTATATGGCTTATGTAACTTTTCTGTAGTCAAAAATATTCAAACACAGCGTTGAGAAAAAAAAAATCAATAAAAATATAAAGTAATAAAACCACAAGATAAAAAATAATTCCGAGAGAATGGAGGGAAAAGGAAATTTAGAATCTGGTAACCTAAAAGTTAAACAGAATTTAATTGAATGTAAGAAATTACGCATTTATGCATGTTATACACCTACCAAATATTACACACGGGTTGTTTTCCTTGTGGATAAAAGTCTGTGTTCTGTTGTGTCCGCGCCTCCCCAACATAATATCTTATTTCCTCCTGGATCAATTCACAGGCCGTGACCCCTCAGTGCCCGGGTCCAC